AGTTTTGTGTCACATTAGTGATTGGATGATCAGTAAGACTTCAGCTAAACCTGAAGAATTTAATAATTGGTCTAGACCACAATTGCACCCTAAACCTAGGACCAGGTGCAGAGTGAGCAGGTGAAATTCACAGGAAATTAATTAATGACTTATTTAGAATCAGAATCTACTAATAGGAAAAATTTTTGCTAAAATTTTCTTGCTTATGCCACACAATCAAGCAAGAGCTGGTATTTATTTCTAGGTAAAAGTAGATACATGAATAATATATAATGACTTATAGATATTTATGAAGAAAGAAAAGTAACAGAATGTCAACTAAACTCATGTAAAGTAAAATAAATAAATAAAACCATGCCAAGGGTAAAAAATAGTAGCTGAAATGTTCATGACCATAGTAACTGTCTTTTAACAGATAAACCTAAATCTGTATTCTAACAAATGCCTCAAAGGCAATGAGTACAGTCATGCTTACAAAACTCTCTTAAACTGTAAGATGAATGATTAGTTCAAACTATAAAGCAAAGGCACAAAAGAAGCATTTCTTCACTATTCAAAACCATGCATATGCTTTAAAAAACGTCTTCAGAATTTCAACAATATAGCCATAAAATCAAGTCTTTTAAATATGGTAACAATTGTACATACCATTTTCAAAAATCTTTTTAAATGCACATATTATCTCACAGAAAAGGAAGGCAAACTCTGAAATATGAAAAAAATGATGTGGATGGGGAGACCTGAAGCTAGAGGAGTGGCCATGTAATTGTTTTTCTATCAGTTACTGCAGTCTTGTGGAAAATTTCACTGGTACTCAGACAGCTGAGAGCTTTCGCACAGATCTGTAATACAGAATATTGGATTTGAATGTCCTCACTGGGGAAAGAAGAAAGAGGGAAATCTGAGGCTCAGACCCCTGCATGGAGCCAGGAATGTCAAAGTTCTCAGAAGCAAGTAAAAGTGTGGGCTGGAAAAAATTTGTTTGGCTTGGCCTTGAACCAAATCCCAATTTGGTAAAGGGGGTTGGATAAGAACTTCTTGAAAATTAGTAACTATAAACCTGCTCTCATAGTACAGAAACTCAAATCAAGAAATTAATTTAGGATGCTCCGATGCTTCCACCTTTGGAATGTTCCAGGGCAACTACCTGAAGCAAAAGAATATCTTCTGTGGAAGAACACACCCAAATCCCAGGCTTTGCATGATCCTAGTAAATAGGATTAACAAAATATGAGATCACGATTTTAAATCATAAAATATACTATTTAACAAGCCACCATGAGTGAGATACTGCTGAGACATACAATGAACTAATATAACTTACATACACTAAAAATATGACCATTAAAATTTTAATAGTTTTAATGGCAGATATAAGTGAATTAAGAATTAGTGAACTAGTAGACAGAACTGAAAAATAACATAGTAAAGGAATGAAACACAATAAAGGTAAAGAGATACGATATTCTCACTTCCCAAATATCAAGTGTAGCATATAATTTTGATTATCAGAATAAATGAACAGAGAGAATGAGGGCAGACATAATATTCATGTTCAAGAAGGTAATGGTGATAATATTTTCCAGAATTGATGAAAGACATGGATCTTCGGATTGAGGAATACAATGAACCTCAAACAGAACAAATAAAGAACTCCACATTAGGACAAGCAATTAAACCTCAAGATACAAAATTAAAGTAGATATCACAAAACCAGCTTAAGAAAAAAAGTCAAAGTATTTACAAAGAACAACTTCCAGCAGGCTTTAAAATAAGGGAAGACAGAAGAGAGTAAAATGTTCTCTTTAGATTACCAAAGGAAAGTAATTATCAAGCTTGAATTGTATACTCAGCTAAACTATAATTTGAGAACAAAGTCAAACTAAAAAAAATTTTTTTAAGATACATTTTTTGAGAAATGAATGAGAGCTACGGATCTCTTTTCCATAATATGTGCAATTACAAAGTTGAAGACAATTTTTAAGATCATTGAACTTTCACCCTTAAATCAAGCTGCATCAGAGAACTGTGCACTGGGGTCACATTCTTTAGAACCTTTATAATAATTCTTTTACTAAATTACTCTGTTCTTATATCTTTGTATTGCATTGAAGTACAATGTTCCCACTGAAGCAACTATGTAATTATTTTCTCTCAACTGCAATTCTTTTTGAAACCACTGATGACTACATCACACAATTTCACAACTCACAGGCACACAATATCTACCATACCCGTTCCGGACCCTGCAGTCTAGTCAACCATACATATATGGGGTGGAGTGAAGAAACATGTTTAAAATGTCCAATTTTAGCCATTCTGACAGGTTGTTCTTCTTTCCTTTTTTCTCTCCCTCTCCCCCTTCCTGTCCCTTCCTCCTTGCTTTCTTCTTTTCTAAGAAAGAACCTCTAAATAACAGTGATATTTCAACTCTCTAATTCATATTTAACTTGGTCAGGCAAATTGCTCCCTAAATTGTCTATATAATTCCTTCCACTAGCTATCTAAAGCACATTGCAACAAACACACACATTACATGTTATATATATTTAAATTTTATATTATAAAAATTATTTATATATAAATATATATAAAATTATATAAAATATTTACAAATTTTAAACATACACACACACATATATATAATGGGTCATATTCATACTTCACAGGGCAATAATTTTTGTTCCACTTTCTCAACTCTTAACTGAATAGAGGATAAAAAGTGCATAGACGTCAACAGTACAGGCTTTGGAATCAGATTTCCTGTTAGGGGTTGGATTTTGGTTTCTCCATTATTTACCCATATTACCTTACAGATAAGAAGCTAAACTTTATAGTCTCATTTTTTTGCTTTATATAGATAGCCCTCAGTTTCATCCTCTGTAAAACAGAAGATATTGATAATACCAAATTCTTCAGTTGGTGCTCAAAATCTATTGATTTGATTTATTTTCAGCTCTTAACACAGTGATTAAAATAGAATGAATATTTAGGAACTATGAACTGATTTGTGTACCTACCCCCCCAACATATCCTCTCCTGCCCCCCGCCCCCACCCCCACCCGCCAATTCGTATGTTGAAACCAAAACCTCTAATGTGATAGTATTTAGAGGTGGGTCTTGGGGAGGTAATTAGGCTTAGTGAGGTCATGAAGGTGGAGCCCCGTGATGGGATCAACGTTCTTATAAGAAGAGGAAGAGAAACCAAGACTTTGAGTATTCTGGTCTCACTGGCAAGCTTTAAGCTGGCCCAGTCTGAAGGCATTGGATATCTCATTCACTTAACTTCCTTGACTGATATTCAAGACTCACCAAACGGGTTTCTGACGCATATTTCCTTTCCTACATAAAATACTGACAGGTAAAGAATATACCTATTATATATATTCTGAATGTCTAATTTCCAGGACAGTGCTTTCTCACTGTGAATTAACAAATGTTCTTTCTTATATATCAGTTTTATAAACACAGAAATCTGCTTCTGAGAGATGGATACATGGAGTAACAAAATCAGGTTTTTGAACATGAACAACTCCATCAGATCAAGGCCATTATAAATCCTTCATGATGTTGCAACTTTGTAAGAAGTCTTCGGAGAATCTATTAACTTTCTTCAGCAGGGTGGAGGGGTGAGATGTGGCAGTACTATTCTGCCAAGTTTAATTTCTCTAATATTTAGCTTTCACATTACTTTTCTTCTTGGTTGTGCACAAGCATCCCCACTCTGAGTGTTCTGTAGTGTCATAAATAATTCATTTTTCCTTCTGTCTCTCACCTTTCACCTCTATTGTTTTCCCTCTCATAAAAAATAGAATTCTTGAATCTAGGATAATGGTTTCTTCCATTAGAGTCCCAGAACTCACTTGCTCATTCTTTTGGAATACTATCTTCTCTCCTGAACCACACAGCATTTGCACAAAGAACACTACCTGTCCAAATCCTCTCATCATTAAGAGAAATGATAAGAGCTGACATGTTTGGGGGGGGCATTATTTGAAGCATGTAGTAAATGACTGATGACAGATTGATGAATATTTCTGGCACTTCTATAGAAAACATATAGTTACTCTCAGTAAAAACGGAACAAGGAGATGCCAACACTGGTGGAACTACAATGATTTTATCTGTTCTGTCTCTGTCGTCCACTAGGACAATTCTTCACAGGAGGGCTCATGGTTTTCTTCACAGGACAGTTCATGCCTTTTACAGAGCCCTTACACCATACATGTTAGGATCAGGCCAGGGCCAGGATCAGCAGAGGAGGGACACATTGGAACAATAGTGTCCTCACTATTTTCTTTACTGTCCTTTTGGACTATGCAATGTAGTTCTATAACCCAACCAATAGAGTCCCCCTCTTATAATGAATTATCATTTCCTAATTTAGCCTCTTCTTTTAATGGGAAAAAAAGTCACAATTTCACAATAATGAAATTCTATATGTGAAAAGAAGTGCTGTAAATTGTTTTAACTTCTTAGAATTAGCTTATTCTATTTACTCAAAATGCCATAATTTGTAGGAAAAACCTGAGTTTTCAAAACATAATTTTGAAATAAATTTTAGTAGACAGATAATTTTTATAGATGGCTTCATAAATACATACATAAGATTTCTACATTTACAGTATGACTTTTACAACTACTTATGGAGGAAATCTTACAGATAAACAAAAAACAAACATATTTCAGAATAATCAGCCATCAAATCTGACATGTCAGTAGTTGTTTTTCCACCACGAAGATTCTAAATAGTAAATTTTTTCCCCTAAAACTGAACTTTGGTGATATTGCTAAACTCTTCCATCTTTATTAAAGATGAAAACTTTCCCACTCTCTATTAAAATTATTCTCAAGAAGAAAAGGCAGTGGAAATGTCTTCTCAGCCCTACTTTATTAAAAGAAAAAAAAAGTACACATTGAGGAAAAATAAAAACCCAATCACACAAGAACACTGAAGTTCAGCTTGAATTAACCAACATACTTTGAAATCACTGACTCACTTTGAACTCCATGGGAGCGTACTATTTTCCAGGTTTCTGATGCCACTTCTTTGACATCCACTTGATAGTGATGAATAGGCACACCTCCATGGGAGTCCGGCTTGTTGAAAGAAACCTTAGCTGTGGTCTGTGACAGCTCTGTAATCTTCACTCCATAGGGACTGGATGGCACATCTACGAAAAAGTGAAAACAAAGGAAATGTAAGCCAGGTAATATGGATGGCCGTTATTAAGACTTAATGGTATCCTGACAATTAGGAATAAAGGAAAATTGCTCCCTATGTCACTTAATATATTTGAATTAGAGGGCTTGCATAAACTGCTGAATGATGCTTTCAAATTGCAAGAAAGTATACATTAGTCAATCTTTATAACTATAGAAAATGAAGAGTAAAATATTCATTATCAAATTTCATTGATTGAGGCAATAATTTTACTTCTTCCTTTTCTATACAGTATGGGGATTTTATTTGCATTCAAGGAAAACAAGCTCGTGTGTGTGTGTGTGTGTGTGTGTGTGTGTGTGTGTGTGTGTGTGTAAGAGAGAAAGGGATGGAGGGAGAATGCAGGTACAATTAAAAATATAAGAAGAAACAAAGACTTTATTGAATTAATAGCATAAATATCTTTTGTGAAGATGTGAGATTTATTTTCTTTTTGTTTATTAAAATTATGTTAATAGTTTCGGGGAAAATGTTAAGTTTAGAGCAAATGTCATTATGAACTAAATAAAACTGCAAACTACCTGTTTTAGTTTCACTTATGTATTATTTAGCTAAAATAAAGCTTTATGTGGACTATTTAAGTTGTAATCCTTGTATTTTAAAAACAGCTATAAAATCTGTCTTGTGTGTTTTTGTGTCAATTACTCACATTATTTCAAGCTAAATAATGTATCCTGAATGAAACTTTATTTTCCAGTATACAAAACTTTATAAACAATTATCAAAAATGCTAAAGAGGCAAGAGGAGAAAATAAGAGAGGAAAAAGTCTCATGAGGAAATTAATGAAACTTCTACTCCAGAAACATGAAGAATTAGAGGTACGTTCAGCATTGAAGGGATCTCTCTCAGTTTCTCTTTCTCCCCTGCCTTTTTTTTTTTTTAAGTAATCTCTACACCCAACCTGGGACTTGAACTCATGACCCCAAGATCAAGAGTCACACACTCTAGTGACTGAGTCAGCCAGGTGCCCCTCTTCTCTCTCGTTTCAATATCACATTTGAAATAATCATAAAGTTGTAAATTTACATATAATTTACTTAAAATATATACATATATTATAAAAATATATAAGTAAGGGGTGCTTGAGTGGTGCAGTCTGTTAAGCATATGACTCATGGTTTCAGGTCAGGTGGTGATCTCAGGGTTGTAAGATCGAGCCCTGGGTCAGGCTCTGTGCTCAGCGCAGAGCCTGTTTAAGACTCTTTCTCCCTTTGCCCCTCCTCCCTGATCTCTCTCTCTCTAAAATAAATAAATAAATCTTTAAAAAAATATATATGTATATATATCATCTATGAAATTAATTTTATAAAAATAAAAAAAACTTGATTGAAAATAACATGTAAATGCAAATTCCTGTTCTGATACAATCAAAGATTCATATAAAAATCTCTAATGGCTATCAAAAGCTAAGTGTGCCTTATTTGCTAGACTTGAAAGAAGTACTATGGATCACATAAAAATATGCCTTATAAATGGTACTGGGCAAGAGCCAGGAGGGCAGGTTTATGGCCTTTAAATATGAATATTGTAGAGAAATGCAAGAGTGTACATTTCAGCTCAAATTAGTAACTGTAAATTATTTGGGATAACTCTAAGGTTTGGAGATTAATGTGCAGAATATTGATGTATTCCAAAGTCATACTACTATTAAAATCTTACCTGGAAATAAAAATTTTAAATGACCTAAAAAATCTATGAAAGTTGCCATACATAAACATTATCATAGTTTCATGTTTCTTTAATCCCAGATTATGCCTTTGTAGGTTCTTTTCATCTGTAGGCTTGACCTACAGTTTGCATTAAAAAAATATATATATATATATATACACCCACACGCTGATTGTTTATAATAAGACTGTCAATTCTTCACCTCATGCCCATTTACTCTCTAATGTCAGCCCGGTCTAAATTGGACATCACAGCAATTATAATCTTCAGTTTAAGGATACATTTAAAAAGGAAAAGTGCTAAGTACTGAAAGGGGGAGGGAGAGATGTGATACATCTTGGGCTCCACCTTTGACCACACATTCAGAATAGACGTGGTCCTTGGTTCTTATTCTGACCACAGAGGCACGCACCATTAGCTGAGCTGTGCCCTTTACATGAGAAAACCACAGAGAAATAAGAGGCTATTTTTTTGTTAGCACAAAGGCACCATTACCAAAACTTGAGCCAGCGGGTATCTTTATCTAGCCAGATAGTCTATTTTCAGACAGGCTGACTCTTACCCTGGGTTTTCGTTTGTATTTATTTTTTGTTGGCCTCCTCTTTCTGTTACCTAAGAGGAAAAACATGCTTATGACTTGCAGCTCTCGTATCTTCCTAAATACTTTTTATCTTTTACATTCTGATTTTATATGTCCAACCACTTGCTGACTACCAAATTATTCCATACTTATATACATGCATGCATATATATGTGTGCGTGTGTGCGTGTGTGTGTGTAACATTGAGGAAAGTGGCTGGACTATGCTCAGTACCCAGGAATAGATGATGAATTAAACATTTCAGTAATTAAAAATAATATACAAAGGTACAGAACCTATTCAAGTGAATATGGTCTAATATGCCTAGAACCAATATCTCTAATTCATCCCTCCACTCACAATTGTTTTATAATCACGTTCATCCTCAAGTCTATCTCTTATATACATCCCAGTAAGTCGCAAAGTTATTTTCATCATTCCCACATCATAATTCTTGTGTTCTACTCTTCCTTCCTGTTTCCACCGTTAAGCCCAAATCTTATCTGCCTCTACCTGCAATGCCATTAGTGGTTCTTGGCTTCCTTTCCTATTGGACATCCCACCAAATTTCAATCCGTATGGCATGTAAATGCAAAATCAATCTTTCTAAAGCACCACTCTAATCACGTCACTTCCCTGAGTAGGGTATTCAGAAGCTTCCTCCTCTTTATAACATCAAGCTTAGACTTCTCAGTCTGGTTTTCAATATCCTGAATTATCTAACCTCCCTGGGTCTATGCAAACAGAGGATCATATTGTAGAAGACTATCAAACACAGTCCTATGTTTCCAATGGGGCTTGTGGATATTGAATTCCATGCACAAAGCTCCCATCATCGTCAGCATGTTTTTCTAAACTGCTTCCTAGCACCTTCCATTTCAATAATTAATCAATGCCACCCATCGCTGAATGAATAGAACAATTGTACAAACATGTGCTTCTTTCTTTATTCTTTATTTTCACCTCTACTAGAACCAGCATAGAGTTAGATGAAGAGCCTGGATATCTTCAGAATCTATGGATCCAAAGTCTGGCCTTGCTACTTTTTTCAACTGTAATCTTGGACAAATTCTTTGTCTTTTCATCAATATTTTTTTTCTTTCTAAAGTGGAAATTAGAATAATTTCCACTGCTAAGGTTGCTATAAGGATCAAGTAATGCAGTACACAAAACAGAACCTGAGATATACTTAGCAAATGTTAGTCACTGTCATTTTGTTATCTCTCCCTGATAACCATATTCCTTCTATTGCATTATTGGTATCCACAATGTCAATATTTTATTTTATTTTTTAAACTGAGGTATTATTTATTTATGATATGTTTACAGACTTACAAAATTGTTTTTATCCAATACATCATCCTGTGTAGTATCTTAAGAATGAATATCATATTCTGGGAGCAAAAATTCAAGTGTTTTAATAATTTATGCATAACCCAACATCTTTTGGATAACAAAATACCATCAATTTGGCTTCAGAGAACTCAGATACCTGTGCAGAATTTTTTGTAGTCAAGGAACAAAGTAAATTCAACAACATAAATTTATTTAGTTGACCCTGAGTGTAATATTTTAGTTAAACGGAAGGTAAGAGATATAACATTGAGGTTCAGCTTAGGGATGTGGAGGGTGTATGATAGCAAAGAATTGGTGCCATTATCTAGGAGCAGGACAAAAACAATCTTTAGCAGACTGTTGTAGGAACTGCTATATGACCCTGGGCAAATTAACTGCATTGGTTATTAGTTTCCTCATTAAAAAAAAAAAAAAGGTAACAATGTCAACACTAAAGTTGCTATTGTGAGGATAAATGGGTGGATATAAATCACTGGAAAATTACAAATACTATTTTCACTTATCCTTTCTTTAAAAAGCCTGTCAGTGTATAAATAATGTTGATAAACATTTTGATATTTATACATGCACCTAAAGCCACAGCTTGATCAAAGTATAAAAGTGAAAACTTCCAAAAAGTCTGCCTTGGTGATTATTTTATCTTGTGAAAGGTAAAAAACAATGAAAAAGGTTGCTTCTCTGACTTTAATGCTGATAAAACATAATAATGGAATTAAATAGAGGAACTATGGGGTGCCTGGGTGGTTCAGTCAATTGGGTGTCTTGGCTCTCTCTCTCAAATAAATAAATAAATAAAATCTTAAAAAAAATAAAGAGGAACTAGTAAGTGAAGTGAAGCATAGAACCTATTTAAAAAAAAGATCATGACAATCAGATATATACAGAGATGTTTGAAAACAGATTCAAAATAATACATCAAATATCATATTCCTCTGTCTAACAAAAAAAAAGTATCCCAAAGTAAAGGTACACTTTATAAAGTAAAATTCTGAAAGTATATGTCCAAAGACACACATGTGGAAGAAAAGGAAGGGAGCTCATGAATATAATGTGAGTATACAGAAGATCGTGGATGAGTAAATGTTTTAGAAACATTTTTAAAGTGGGATGAATCATGGAATTACAAAATAGTATTTCCTTAGGCTTCAGAATAAGCTGGGATATAATATGTTGAAGACAAGAGGAACAATAAAGATCAGCTCTGTGTATGTGTTTTAGCTCTTCACACTCTTCCTCAACTGCATCCACAATTCTCAACAAATATAAATAGATTTCTCAATATCAAAAGTGAAAATGGAATTCATCAAGCAAGGTCACTCAAATTGTATCCTACCACTTCTGGGTA